GTTTCCACTAATGCCGTATATAATTATATGGCAAAAAAAAAAACAAGGTGTTAAGTTCTGACGTCTGTATTAAAAATTAGTTGTTACGTACTGAAGTTGCGAATATTCACACATATTTAATTGACCATAACAATGGCATTGTTGTTTTTATTTTTTCAAATATCGCTGAAATTACAATGTGTTTACTTTATATAAACAATATAACTAGTTATTTACAATTTTCGCCAAGTACATATGTACATACATACATACATACGAATGCTCGTAGTCTTTTTATTACCGAAACAATTATACTAATTCGTTGGTTAATCAATGCGGAATTTCTTTTTATAACAAACAAAAATCCCCAACAACACGGCGGGTGGACTTTTGAGCCGATCTCCAAACGCCGCTCTATGCAGCACGATATTACAACAACCGACTGAGTGAGAGCGCAATGTATTTGCTGGGCTACATGCACACACACTCGTCTCGTTGGAACATGTTCGTACATTTGTACATATCGCCGATGAGTGTGAATAACAGATAATTGATGGATGCATAGTGCAATATAATTGGTCAAACCTACGTCATTGGTTAAAGGCATTTCCGCATATACATATACACACACACGTACTTCGCTTAGGTATTTAGTTATGCACTCATGCATACATAAACAGTTGTAATGCCGCCGTCGAGAATGCGATTCTATGAATTAAGATCTCGTTTTTGCTCTTCAATGGGAGACGATGCCAAAGTGCAAATGCTTTGCGGCCCACTCATTCCAAACCAGACTGTATCGGGAAGTGATTCTAGCCGTTGGCTGAGTAATATTAGCGGTAATAAAATGCAAAAAGCAAATAAAAATAAACACAAAATATCCAAATACATACATACATACATATATGAATGTGCTAAAACTTAAATGCAAAAAATTAATAAATAAAAGGCAAAGCCGATCATGTGCAAGGAAAATAATAGAGTAATGGCCAATCATGACATGCGATTTAACGAGTTGACTACTATTAAATGCTTACTTAATACTTAATACGAGTATTGGCTGCCAACGACAAGCAGACAATGGTGCCGACAAATTACATTAATCACGCTAGCATACAATATATGTACGATTGCTTGTATGTGTGTAAGTGTAAGATACATATTTGTAAAATTAAATAAAAAATATTTTTATTGGAAAATTAAAGAAAAAAAAACATGTTTTGTACTAAAAAAACATGCATGCCGTAAAGGGATTAAGGGGTTTCAAAAAAACGAATTTTTGTTATAATATTAAATTCTAAAACACCTCTAGAAAATTGTTTCAAGTTGAACCGAGTGATATTGTAGTTTCGGAGATACAGCCTAAAAAATCTTGTAAAAAACGGTTAGGTTTACGAAAAATCGTAATAGACCTTTTGTTGGAGCATTCAGTTTTCTACAAAATATATAAAATGAGGTATTTTTTCAAGTATTTGGTTTCGAAGCGATACTGAATTTTTCTAACTGATAATAAGAAAAAACTAAAGAACTGTAAGATGTTCCCCCAACTCGTTACAATTATAAGCTCATAATTGGAGAGATTTTCTTAGAGATTATTCTTATTGTATCTAAACATATACTTTCCAATGTTTCAAACAAAAAAAATATTCAGATTTTTTTTTACCTACCCTAATATACGTACATACAAATACATATGTATGTCTATATACATACATATTTATAACAGCCGAAAATGAGTCAATAGTCTCAACTTACCATTCTTGCAAGCTCTTTCCTCATGCGGACTTCCACAGAATGGTTTTCTAATTCATTTTCTCTAATAATTTAAATAAATATTTCAAAATGTTAATAATCTTATAATAATATCATTCATACTTATGTGCATATAAATACATTTAAATATGTAAATACTTATGTATTTGGTTTACGAGATCTACTTGTTACAACACAGATATCCCACAGAGCAAAATAGAGGCGATATTCTATGAAGACTACTGACTGAATTTTTTAGGGGATTTTTTGAAGACATTTGTGTTTCTTTTGCTATTTCAGGAAAATACATACTTACATATGTGTGTGTGGTGTATGTATATAAATTTTGATATCATTCCAAAATAATATGGAATTCGCAACGTAAATGATTTGTTTACTCACTGGGTTCGGTGAAACATTGAGTACTATGTATGTAAATGTGCGTATTTATGTATGAATATCGCCAAGACGGTGTGCCACTGACGTCAATTTATAATTGCTATTTGCTTTGGTTGCTGTTTCATAAATATCGCGTGCGATGTCTGCGGAGCGATATTAAAGAAACATACATTTGCACATTTATTGCAGAATTTTGATGTTTTTGAAGATTACCTATAGTATGTACGTATGTACATACATATGTACATTTACAGATCTGTATAAGTTTGTATCTATGTATGTATGTAAAAACTGTAATAATTGAAGGGAAATTATAAGGTTTAAAGTGGTAAAAAAATATTATTACACTGGTCAAAAAAAACTTTTTTCTCTTTTATGCTCAAATTCTGATTTTAAACATTAATAAACACTGCAATTTTTACTTTTATTTCTTAAAATTTGCTTTTGTTATCAAGCTAATTTGACCATAGGAATTTAAAAAAACTACGAAAAAAAAAATCTAAAAAAGCAAACTTTCATCAAAAATATTTTTCGCTTACTTTTCATGTAAGAGAAACTGAAATTTAACAAGCAGAAGTCAGACCCAAAAATCGTGTTATTGGAGAAAACGGAATTTCCTTGTTTATACTTTTCAATTTTAAAGCATGCGTATAAATGATTATAACAAATGGCATACGTACATATTTATATATATTAGGTCAAAAAATGTTAAATTGCTTATGAATAAAACAAGAAAATGCAAAAGTTTTCACCGAATCTTTAATAATCCTACACAAGTAAAAAAACGATACAAGTATTTTATTTTTGTTGGTCGAAGATAATAACGCTACCTTGGACAATAATCCATCCTTAATTTCATGAGAATACATTGTCAAAATTTCATATCAATATTTCAAAAAATGAGGGCTAGTTTACTGACAGACAGACCGACAGCTCGTTACGCTGATCATTTAAATATAATATATGTATGTACATATATTTTATAAGGCCTACCATCTTAAAGCCGCATACAATGAGTGTCACAGTAGAATTTGAAGCAATCCTGAAAAAGGAATATTCCAAAAGCTGAAAGGTAATTTCGTAGCTTTCCTTTTGTAAATTATTTTTTAGCATTTGGAAAATAAATACACATCTGGACAGTCGATAAATCCTCCAAAAGTAAATGTTTTGCACACACATGTACACAAGAAGGTTGACACAAGCAGTTTGTCACACAAAACAATTAACGTAGCTGTAATGAAGGCAATTACGGATCATCAAATTACATCTACAAATTAGATGAGATTCGCATCCATTTCAATTTGCCAAATCATTATTTGCATCGGCATACATAAATGTATGGTTGTTTTTACAGAAATATATATATTTATAAATAAATGTTATGAGACTTTTCTTCAAGTATTTGCGTGATAAGCTAAAAATATCCATAAAAACTTACAGGTAAGTCTTCATAATTACGTTCCAGAAAAGTTGAGATTAGCTATAATTATAGAAAATATTTTATTAAAAAAACTATTTTCATTAGCTGTAACTTTTTCATTCATGTTTTAGCTTTAAAATCAATACAAAATAAACGTATTGATGAATTCGTTTAATTTCGAGTTTTTATAAAGAGCAAAGATTACTTTCATTTCTTACATTTCTGTATATGAATATTTTCTCGTATTCGTTTGAAAAAAAAATTAACTTTGACTTAACAGTACTTGAATTATTATATATTTGGGTCACTCCAGTATTCTTTTTCATAACTATATATGAATTTTCACCGGTTACTTTCTTCTTAATCCCCATTCCACTTATCTCTACCTTAGGTGAGTACACTTTAGAAAACAAACCTGTTACACGGGGTTTCGCCGCAATGGAAGAACTAGTGCTGCTTTCTGCTGCATTGCTTCCGCTGGTTCGGGCACACTTCAAAAGCATTTTCAATGCTTTTTTTTATTTTACAAAATTTACAGTTGTTTTGCAGGAGGACACTCAAGAAGTCGCAATATTTGTATATTTCTGTTATGCCACTACAAATTATGCATTAATTTGATAATTGAATTATTTGCTTTGTAATTAATTTTCTTTAGACACTTATCGTTGCATTTTTTGTTTATATTCAACAAAACTATTATATATTTTCACTTCAAGCACTTTGAGCACTTTATTTTCGCTTTTACATTCGTTACTATTTTTAGCAATTTTCTGTACTGCACGTTTTATTTTACATGTTCATTTTCTTCCCTGTGCGCAATGGGCAATCACTTTTTCCTCAATTCACGCACACACGTTTGCAGGATTAGCTTGACGAGTTCGCCACCACACTGTCCCATGTTTTACACTTCAAGTTCCACGATTTAGATTTCATTTGTTTTCAACAGCTTAGGAATACTTTAAACTTCATTGAATTTCTTTTCAACGATAAAATATTTACTGTTAAACAATAATATTTCTAATTTGTTGAAGAATTCTTGGTGAAAATCTACTAGTTACGATACAAAATAGAATTTACGCTTTACTTTAACTTCCTACAGATGAGTTTCGCAATTTCGCTTTGGACTGACATTCTACAATTTGACAGGGTTGCATGGCAAAAGTAGCTTTTTAACTAACATTTATTATTGAATAAAATAAAAAATTTTAAACTATTAAAGTTTGAAAAATTGAAAATGTTTGACGAAATTGGATGTTAACTGAAAATATTTAAATAATGAAAATATTTAAATAATATTAAAAATTTTCATTCTATGAAAAGCCATACAAAATCATGGTATCTAAATTCATTGTAATAAGAAATTTTCCAACACTGAAACATTGTTTACCTTTGAACATATGATAGCAGGAGAAAGCATAACATTTGTACCGTATGTCAAACAAGAAACGGAAAGAACTGCTGCTAGTAGGCAAAATCTGTTTACCTTCCGATTGGAGTATGTTACATATATCTACTGATTATTGCTAAGAATGTGTCGTTGTGATTAGATAAGAAATTAGTGATAATTAGTCAAGAATATATATGTATAATCTTTAAATAAGAGAAGTTAATATTATTCTCTTGAGATAGTCGACTGTGCCACATATCGCAAAACAATCTTAAACGCACTATATATGTGAATACATAAAGACTTCTAAAGAAATTTAGACAATTGTCTTCGGCAGTACACACGAATAATTCGCTGCATTGACACGTTTAGGATTTGAAAAGCAAAAATATAAGAAAAAATTAATAGCGTTTTTCGGATAATTTTAATAAAAATGTGTGTGATATTTTTTTACGTCAACTCAAATCCAACCTCCGGTGGTTATAAGCTTATTCTAGCTTCAAATCGGGATGAATATTTCGCTAGAGATACACAAGATGCAGCAAAGTGGGCTAACGCCGAGCATGTTTATGGAGGTGAGTACTGACATACATACATACATAAATATGCAACAATTCATGCAGTATGTTTTCTTTGTTTTGAATTTTCGAATTACATATCAGGCATTGACCTCGAACCTGGACGTGAAGGTGGCACCTGGCTGGCTATTGGTGGTCATGGTGGTGTATTTAAAATAGGTGCACTGCTCAATTTGACAGGCGAACCAAAACCAAGGAATGCTGCGGGTAAGCATTATCAAGCGGCTAGCTAGATATAAAATGTTGTCATATGCTAACCTTTGTTACTTTACTAACTACGGCTCATTGACCCCTAACTGCATACAAACGTACATTCACATATTAACGTTTACTTATCACGAATTGAACTTGCATGATGCCTTTGTGTGTGGTTCGTATACAAAATTATTTATTAACCACTTATTTTTGTCAATGTTATTTACGCTAATCTCTAATACGCTGATAAACAATAATTCATGAAAAAACTTGAAACATATACATATACTATATGCGCATAGCTACACACCATAACATAATGCACTTCAATTATGACAACAATAAGGCTGATACAACAGGGAACAACACTCCTACAGTTAACAGACAATTACCACTGAACAATGAAAATTTTTTGTTAGGCCGTGGCATGATCGTCTCAAATTTTGTGTCTTCTACGGATGATTGCAATATAAAAACTTACAACGCTGAGCTATTGGCCGATTGCACCAAGTACAGCGCTTTCAATTTTGTTTCAATCGAAATTGGGTTAGTAACATTTATATATTTATATCTTAATGTTTTTTTTTTAATTATATAAAAAACACATTATTATAATTTCAGTGATGCGAAAAGACACGCTGCAATAACGCTGTTAAGCAATTCGCCGCCCACTTTGGAGCATTTTGTTGATGGCAAATGTTATGGCTTTGGCAACAGTTTGGATGCCGTGCCCTTTCAGAAAGTCATCCATGGACGTCAACGTTTCCAAAACATTGTTGAGAATTTCAACAAAAAGCTGTCAAACGTGCCGTTGGAGAATGCGCAAATTCTACAAAATGAATTAGTGACAAATTTAAAGAATTTATTAAAGTGCAAACAAAAGTTTTGGCCAGATGCGGAATTGAAACGACGTGCCCCCAATTGGGGCGAACACTTGAGTGCGTTGAATGTGAATGTGCCGTTAGCGGACTACGGCAGTCGCACACACACCGTTATACTGATTGATGAGCATAATAAAATGCATTTCTATGAGGAAACAATGGCTGGACTAAATCCCGAGGGTGAATGGCGACAAACACATATTGTAAAACATTTCTTTCAAATATCTTAAGTTGACAACGCGAAAAGGTTACCTTGCTTTGGTGTGGTGCGCTGCTAATTAGTTCTACGAAACTCAATGCCTCTTAATATAAATGTTTGTACTCAGGTGTAATGACTAAATTTTTTTGTATAAGGATCTAACAAATAGTTGATAATAGAATTGTGTACTTGTGCTTTCATTGTAGTTATTTAAATAATGATTTAAAGTTTTATTTTCTGCCACTGTTTTGATTTATAACTCTTACTAATTAACAAGATAATTTTATTTTACTTTATATATATACATACAGTTAGTTTGCGGTTTATTGCATTACGTTTTATTATTTTATTATTTGTAAGACTTGGCGACTCTTTGTTTGACACCTTTCAGCGCGCCTTTGCGTGCACCGTTCACTATGTTCTTAAACGTGCCTGCATGTTTTGCGCGTTTTCTGTAAAACATCAAAAATAAATAGCAAATAAATAAAAGTATGTAAAACAATGAAATTTATGAGAACTGTAAAGTTAACGTACCGTTTGTTCAGCGTGTTTCTGGTGAGCGGTATGTACGCGAATGGATCGAGTTTGCCCTTCTTCTTCATATCGCCTTTGGCTTTTTTAGTTGTGTAGTCGCTGCCAGCGTACGCGGAAGCGGCTGCAGACTTTCCAGATTTAGCCGTTTTCGCCGAGTAACCGGATTTCATGGATATCGCATCACTGGCGGCACCCAAGGGACGATGTATACCCTTACCACCGGCCACATATTTGGAGGCTGATGTTTTGCCCGAACGCATGCTGGTGGCGTCTGTTGCTTTACGCTTACGACTCGTGGCTGGCATCTCTTCTTCTACGAAATTAAAACGATTATAAAAAAGTGGAAAGTTGATACACCCTGATCAGGGTATAACAAAAAAATTATATAAAAATAAAAATTGAACCAACCATCACTTGAGTCCACCTCCATGCCACGCTTAGGCGCTTTCTTCACCTCGACACCTTCGTCTTCGTCATCCTCATCAGCATCACTGCTATCGCTGCTGCTCTCGTCGCCACCAACGCCACGCAATGCTTTATCGCTTATAATCAGTCTTCCGTCTTCGGCGGTTTTGAAGCCACGGTTGGGATCCTTATTCTTTGTTTTTGTGCTGCCGGCAGCGTTTGCATTCTCATCGGGACGATTTGCTGTTGGAGCGAAAAGAGTTAAACCGTTACATACATATACATAATGTATATATGCAATTATTACAAACGCACTTAAGACATTTCCAACCGACTTTATGTCAGCCAGATCCACAATGTCCTCCGGATCTTCGCGTATAAAAGTGCTGGCGCGCTTTTTGCTTTTCTTTTCAGCCTTGTCGGCCTCATCATCGTCTGTATGCATGTCTTCGGGCAAATCGGAATCGGAGTCGGCCAAAATGTCATCAATGCTACAAGGGAATTACATTAGTTTTTAGACGGAAGAAAAACAATAAAAAATAAAAAAAAAAACAAA